TCCCGGGAGTCGCCGCCATCGGCTACGGAAAAGCGCGAGTCGGCTTCCGGTTTGGCGAGTTCTCTCGTATCCGCGGAAAGGCGCACCAAGCAGCTGCGCTCAGCACTGGAAATGGAGAGTCTGGCTGGGGAACGTGTTACCGAGCGGTGGAGGAGCCCCACACTTCGTACAGCAGAGCGCAGGTGGGCACGGGTAAGTACAAGCAGGTCCACGGTACAGCAAATGTCTGACATGTTCCAACAGCTTCTGCTGTTGCTGCGGGTTGTCTTTTCCTAGGTCTTTTATTTAGTTTCTGCGAGCTCTGAGAAGCAGCAGCTACAAGGTACTTCAGAGGAGAAGCTATTGTAGAAAGGAATCGCCAAACCTGCGGTTTTCATTGAGAATATTCTCTTTATAGCCCTTTCATTTTATGTGCTTCCCAGAATGAGTGAGACCGGGAGAACGTGGCGAGCCTTACTCTCTACAGCAGCAGTATCAGTACATGCTCCCAATTTACAAATCCCGGAGATGATCACAGCTTCTTGCTCTAGAACTAGGAACAGAGAGCTATTCAAGTCTTTTTCTCAAGACTGCATTTTTCAGGGAACGGGGTAGGTAAGTAGATGTAAGAACATGGACGGGTGGCAGAAAGGTACCCATGCTCCCAGGATCCTTCCATTACCAGTGTGCTATTAGAAAACTGTAACGAGGAGTGCTATACTCCCCTGTGGTGATGTCCGAGGTGTATGTGATGTCAGCTACCTTTCCCAGGATAGTCAGAGACTTGTAGAAAAAAGATGGCAAAAAAGTCAGGAGGTGAAAAGTCAGAAGGGCAGTGCCAGAGAAGGCAGTTTGCCGATGACACAGACATAGCAATGTGGATTTTCCTCTGACGATACACGGAATACTCCAGGCCTGGAGTGGTCTGAAAATGTACAGGATAAAACCTTCTGAGTGCAGCGCCTATGACAAGGTACTTGATCGTCCGTGGCGCCTGCTTGCATCATGACACCATGTCTCAGCAACCGCCAGGTGAAACCACGGAATGCAAGACTCTCTGAAAACCATCAAATTTTGGTTTATCACCATAGAAAGATCACGGCACATGATGGGCAGCTGAATCATTCCAAGTGCTACACAGACCACAAATTTGGAAACTACAGCTACAGCAGAGTTTCCTAAAACTCCTATTCCTCCAAAGAAATGAATCCGTGGATGAGTGCTGTGCCCTTTCACAGAGTCCTGGTGGAGTCCTCAGTTCCCGGTGATACCACTCCCGCTGCTCCCTCAAAAGATACACACTACAGGACTCAGTTTCTCCTTCACAAGCTGCTTCCACTCTAGCAGTTACTAGCAAATGATCACTTGGCCAACACGTTGCTGTGAGAATGGACTCTTCCTTGCCAAGAAGACTATTCTCGCAAAGAAGTAGCCACACTGTACTTCACATGGAGAGACACCTACAAGAGGGCCGCCTGCCCACACTGAGCAGGTATTTACACAGAATCTCACCCTTCCCCACTGATTGTGATTGCACTACTAAGGTACTTCATACACGCATTTCAGATATTGAATGTTAAATGAAAACTCTGTGTTGTAAGACTAGAGGGATGAGTAAAGCAGCGAATGATAGAGTTTTAGAAAAACTTTCATCTAATAAGCCATTCACAGTGAAAATACCTGTGTATGTCTAATAGACCAATCCTATGAGTAACATTGCTGAGCAAGAAATGAAAAGCATATCGGCATTAGGACATACATTCGCTACACCGCTACCTCTACATACACCTCTCTGTACAAGACACAATGACAAACAGTAAAGCAGATGTGAAGTGCCCATGGGACAGTAATGATCCATCGGAGATGAACCCTCCTTTGAGAGAAGAGGCCACAGAGTTGCTGTGTGAACAGGCTTCTTGTGGTGAGCAAGGTCCTTCTCACAAAATCATTCCAGGTGCAGTAAGACTCTGGATGTGTTCACCAGCTGCTAAGGAGCACAGAAGGACAAAACAACCTTTCTAACCAGTAATGCTATTAAGAACGCATGCTACCTTGTTCCTTACGCACCATTTACGTGGATGTTAAAGTCTTAGCTTTGAAAGCTCAAGCTCTGCTACGAGAGGGATAACAATACAAAACAAACTGTAAGGCAACATAAAAAGCACAAGTGCATAACCCTTCACAGCAAGCATATCTTGAATTATCTTCAAGTGCCATGCCATCTGTAACACACCCCAGCAGAAACTGCGAAAATTTTCTCTACTTTCTAGCATTTTGCCCATAGTTTGAAGGCCGAAGAAGAGGCTTATAGAGTCTATAAGCTCAGCATTCAGTCTGGGAACATCCAGATCTTCAACTCCACTCTGTCTTGGGAAGAGCACAGCAGTGGATCACCACCGAGGTGACCAAACAGTGCTCGTGTACACATATGTGTTTTAGAATTCAACACTTATGAACAAGTAATTTCACTCTTCTTCCACCTTCTTCTTCAGTCCAGAGCCTGGAGCTCACTTTTCACACAACCAAGGAAATTCCTGCAAGCAGCAAGGAAATTTGCAGGAACGCCTGGGAATAGTCTCCTGGTTAAGAAAGAAGTGCCTCCAGGTGGAAAACACACACTGTGTTCTGCTACACAAAATTGTCACTGCTGTAACAACTGGCTGAGGAACACGCTGTATGAGGAACATTCACCTGCCAAAGCAGGTACAGGTAGCGCTACATTCGTTTCCAATAATGGCTTATATTCATCCTAAATAACGACTGTTAAATATAAAAGTTCTGTCACAAGGAAATAGTGTTAATTAAGTGAACCAAAGACAGACTTGAGAAAAACATCTGAACTAACATGCCGTTTAAGATAAAATTAATTTTGGATTTGTACAAGTCTCGTTCTATAAGTAAAACTGCTCCCTGGCTGGTAAGGAGCAGAGAAAAAGAAAATCTATTTTCTAATGAATACCACTATTAAAAATAGGTATCACTCTGTTTCTCACACACTGCTTTCAACAATAATAAATAATAAACAACATAAGCTCAAGTGCTGCTACATGTCTGAGCGCGTAATAATATGAAACAAGCAGTTGGGCTGCATTACAAGTACAAATGTAAAAGGCACAAGTCTTCACAGGGCCAGTTGCCCAGACCATTTCACATCAACATGCAGCACCATCGCACCACGGACTTCACATAGGTTATCTTTAAATCTCCGTGCAAAGAAGGAAGATGCATTTCTCTGCTCACTACACTTCAGAGGAGAAACACCAACGTTCTAAAAGTAAAAGAGGAGCTGTCCTCCAGGAGGGACTGAGTCAGGGAACATCAGTCAATCTCCCCCTCCTTACATATGCCCCTGCACCTTGAATTTCTTCCCTCTGCCCCCGTATGGTTCTTGCCGTAGCGTGTATTTTCGAGTCAAGGAACATCCAGCTCCGTTTTAAGTAAGTCAACCTTAAAAGACACAGCATCAGGAAAACACCTCTCCCGTTCCCTACAGTAGCCACTTACATACAGTCACCTACAGACTTTCTCAAACTTTTAAGATCGACATCGTCACGGGACAGTTGTTGCCCAGCACCTTCCTTCACCTGGTGCATAAAGATCAAAGCACAGACGGATACAAAGACATCTCGTTGCTCACCACGTTATCATGGAGAAAGACTGAGAAAATTCAAATCGACGAGCAGCTCCGTTATACACGGCACCGTTAACGTTCAGTTTCTCATCCTACTCGAACAAATCTGCTGTCGGGAAGACACCTGATGCCGCTAATACGGAACACGGAGCGGGAGGAAAGGGCAGGGAAGCGGCAGAGGGGAGCGCCGCGGAGAAAGCGTGTTCCGAGGAACTCACCGGGGCAGCGGCGGGGTCCGCGCGGCGGGCGCCGGCAGGGTCCTCCCCGAGCAGCGGCGCGGGCTCGTCGGGTAGCGGCCGGGCCGGGAGGG